AACCTTCTGAGCACCTCTGTTGAAAAGCTAAGAGTTGGTGCCTCAGCTAAAGAGACACGGATAAGATGACCAGCTAGTTTCCGGTAACTCCCAGGCCATCCCATTGACTACTGCTTAGGTTGGTGGTCAAGCCCAGGGCAGGGGTTAGGGCCCCTATTATGATTGATCCAGAAGTTTCTTTGATTTTTTTCTCACTCATCCATTTTCTCTGTTCCAGACAAGGAGAGGAAAAAGTGTTCTGCTTTAAAAGGAATCTATCTCTCTTATCTGACTGGATTTTAAAAAGTGAATTCAAGGCTGTGGCATACTGGTCTCTTAGTTATATAGTTAGAACAAGGTGGGAGGTCTGTGAGGTGAAGTCATGAAAGGTTTGCATTTTTTTTTTTATTTTGCACTTGAGTTTCAAAGGGCTGAAACCTTTTCACAGAACCAGGTTACACTATTTTTGTTAGCCCAGTAAAGGAATATTTATTGAGGTTATTCATTTAATGCCTGGGTTGTTTTTTTTTTTTTACAAACTTATCCTTTTCTGGTTGATTTGGTTTATCCAATCAAATTCATGAGTTGCTAGCTAAGTTGAGTCTTTCTTGGAGTAGGAGATTTGAGTTATCTTTAAGTTTAATGAGCTCCATTTCCACAAAGAAAATAGTCCATTTGGAGATGAAGTCGTAGCACACCTAGGTGACTTCAGGCCACACTCAAAGCACAGTTTGCAATCAAGTAATGGTAGCTATTACACGAAGTAATAGCTTGTGTCTCTTGTGCAAGGGCCTTTTCCTACTCCCAAGAGGACAGCACTGTGTATAGTGATTAATATACCTATTTGAACTTTTCAATGTGCTCCAAATGCCACAATTTTGTTTACTGTTCTTCTTTTAAACTATTGCATGCAATTAGCGTGTTCAGTTATGACAAGAGTATGACAGGAGAAGAAGCTTAAACTGTCTGTCCTCAGCATTCCCATCCTTGAGTTCTTTTAGAATCATAGCCAGGCAAGGCATTTATAGAATTTAGTGGGTCAAGAAAAAAGGAAAAGAAAGAGCAGCGATTTTGTAGTAGGATGGGATTTTAACAGCAAAGTCAACATTTTCAGATGACTTATACTAAACGCATGTTTAAAACATAGTCAATCCTCCATTAAAAGGCGATTTGGAGACTTCAATGAGAAATCAACTTAATCTCGACTTAGCGTGACTTTTTTTTTTTTTAGTGTGACTTTTTAAGATGACTCTAACAGTATTGGTTTTTCTTGCTGCACAAATATTTCTAAAATGTAAATGAACTTATAGCTATCAGGGTTTTTTTCACCAGGTTTGGCTGTCTATATGTTTTACTTCCTGTCTCTTGAATAAAGTGGATTTTTGAGCTTACTAATGGGAAAGTGGAAAACAGAACTGGCTCCCTTCTTCTCAGAGTCTGATTACTTTCTTTAGACTGGCCATTAATTCATAAAGGCTGGTGAAATTCATTCATTCAGTCAGGCAATATTTGTTAAACACCAGGCCCTGTTCTGGCACTGGAGATATGACAGCAGACAAAGCACCATCCCTCTTAGGTCTAGTTTGGGAAAATAGGCAGTAAACAAGTAAGTTTAAAAATCATGTGTAAGAAATTGTGAAATGCTATGGGAAAAAAAAAACAAGCAAGAAAAGCAGATGTTTCTTGGAGGGATTTTACAATGGTAGAAAGTGACTCTTGAGCAGGGACCTGAAGAAAAGGAAGGAGGAAGCCAGGTAGATATCTGGGGAAGACGTTTCAGACAGAGGAAACAGTATGTGTAAAGGCCCTGAGGCTGGAACATATCTGTGATATTTGAGGAGGAGTGAATCAGAAAGTATACATATACTTATAAGAGATTTCCTGAGCCTCAAGTGCCCTTGTAGATACCAAGACCTGCATAGAAACAAGTCTACAGCAGTGATGCCCTTGGTCCCAGGTTCATCATTGCCACCATCTCAACCTCCAGCATGTAGTTAAATTTAGCACTGTGGACTCAGTCTCCAGGCCTGCTATGGTTCCTGTACAGATTACAGAAGGCTGAGATGAGGGATCTGATGTCCATTTAACCCCCAACATCCCCATTAAATTAGCCATGAGAACTAGTGGCTCAGTTAGTTAACCTGAGGAACAGATGGAATCAAGGGTGAAGTTTGATCTCTCTGATTCAGCATTTACATCACATAGAATGCACAGGTAAGGCCAACCTGACATCTCAGAGACGTAAACCATTGCTCTGATGAGAAGCTGTGACTTAAGCCATGCTAACAATCCAAAAGTATACTTCCCTTTGAAGTAAAACTAATACTTCAAAGTCTGGATTTTTTTTTTTTTTTAAGGCTAAACTGGAGATTTATTAGAAGGGTTTATCCCATACTTTTTTTAAATAACAGATTTTCTCCAGATTCATCACCAAAAGTAAAACATACCTGCTCTACACAGTTAAAGCACAAATTTAAAAACAGGCATGTGGTAGTTTAGTAATTTTATCACTGAATGCAGAACATCAGGTACACTTAGTCTCTTTAAATTGGCATACTCATCCCCAAATAAGTGAGCTCACAATCAAAAATTATAGAAACACTGTTAATTATAAGATTCTTACAAAAATAGCTGCAAAAGGCATTGTTTTCTTCATAACTGCCATATCTGAAACTGTAAAAGCCTTGCTCCAACCACTGTTTTTAAACCATTTCTTGGTTCATAGTAATAGTGAAAACGGACTTCCCTGTTAACATTTCTACTTTGGTTCTGTTCAGAGTGAGTAAGAAAAATCTAAAGTATGATTCATCTTCAGTAGACCTATTTTTCCCATCAGAAAATAAAACCATTTATTACCAAAGAGCAAATCTTTCCACTTTTAATTTATTTTTTGTCATTGCCCTTTCTAAAAATTCTCTAACTCTGGGCTTTTCTAATTCAATCTGATAACTCGGATTAAGGAACTCTGTATGCCAAGAGCCTGGCAATGTGTCACATGTGTCACATAAATTCAACAGTTCTTCATCACCCAAGTACCACTAGGTTTGACCTTCTTTGAAATAATTAAATTCATGGAATGCAAACCCATCTTAAAATCAACCAAAGTACAATATCTTCTGTCTGGAATTATAAGATTTCTATTCTTCCACATGTTACCAAAAAAAGTTAGAGGAGACCTCTTTATATACATAAAAGTGGGAGGCAGAATGCTGTACATTTTTATTACAAGCTAAAGTATTTTGAAACAGGGAATGCAAGGGAGTTTAGAGGCTCTCAAATTTTGTAGCACCTCATCCCTGGGTAGTGGGTTTAAATTTGTGTTATAACAGTCTCTTCTTTCTCAGGTCATTGCCCAGCTTAATTTTTATACATAGGTTATCTACACGAGAATAATAATAATAGCTAACATACGTTAGGCATGGTACTACGTGCCAGGGACAAGCAGAAAAAAAAAAAAAAGACAAACTTAGGACATGCCCTCATGGAAATGATAGTATAGAAACAGACTTTTGTGCTCATTATCTTCATTTTATAGTTGGAGAATCAGAGTTTTAGAAAGGCAGTGACTCTCCTGAGGCCAACTAGCAATAGAACTTGAACCAGGTCTACCTGCCTCTAAAACCTAGATTTCTCCAACATCTGAATGAATCAAAGCACTGAACAGATTATTATGGCAACAGTAACAAGGTCCCCAGACATACTCCAGTTGACCCAAACTGGAACCAGAGAAATATCCATAGTGTGTCCAGGGTCTGGCCTTGCAGAGTGTCTTCAGAACTTTGATGCCATCTCAAAAGCATCAAATATTTTTCCATGTCGAAGGACCTCCAGGGTAAACAGATGGCTGAACCACAGATTTCTGGAGCTCTGAGCCCTAAAGCCCAAAAATCCCAGAAAGGAGCTCTCATCATGACTCCTTCTGCCTGCTGTTTCTGGAAAACTCCCACCAAATGCTGGCCATCCCCTCAGCACAGCAAGAATTGTGTCATTCCCTTCTGTTCTCCCTCCTTCAGAAGCTTCTCAGGACTCATCCCTCCTGTTCTAATGGATGCTAACATCTTTCTTTCACAGTATCTTTACTTCTCTCTCTGGATGCACCCTCTGCATCCCACTTTAGACTTCCATGCAGACAATAAAGAAACCAACTGTGTAGACCTAAAATACAGGAACAGAAGAGGCCCCTGTATGATTGGACTGAAATGAGCTGCTGAACAAATAGCCCTTCATAGTATTCAAATAATTTTTGACCTAAAGTGACCTTATTTCCTAACACATTCTTCCTTGGTGTGGGAGGACTACTTTATTCTTTCAAAATCATATTGTGAAAACTACATTGAGCTCCCATCATAGGGAGCAAGGAAAGCAAGTTGGTTTGCCTTCCATGACTCTGAAGAGAATCTCTTGGTCAAAATGACCAAACAGGACCAGAATTCAAAAAGAGTATCTACATCTTTACAAACTAAAACAGCATTAAATAGGAACTAAGTGGCTCATTTCATGAGTGAGAGACAGTGTTTTAATGGTTTTAAAAATGTTTACATCTCACCACTCCTTCCCCCTTTCTAACCTATCCCCACCTTAAATCCCCATTTCATCGACGGGAGTGATTTCCTAACTTCTTCTCCAACGAAAAAGTCTTTCGATATCACACTTCACTTGACCACAACGTGCGGGTGAGTTAGAAAGGAGAGGAACTGGAGGCAGATTTCAAGGCTAAACAGAATCCACTCACTTTTGGTTTTCGACCCTAACCTCTCAATCCAGTCAATAAATACATGGTGAGTGTGAATTTGGACTGTGGCACTATGAGATAGAGTCTGCCACAGTAATATTCCTTCACTTCATCTCAGAGTCTCAAAATGACGTTCTTCGGTCTAGTCATTCAGGAAAATTTGGCCTCAGCGGCCTAACAGGAGGCCAAGGTGGCTGGCTGACGACAAGGCAGGCCTTTCCTATCCAGAGCAGTGGTGTTGAGCGGGTGAAGAGGGGCCAGCCGGCTTGCATCTGGATAGGCGTCCGTGTCAGGAGCGGTAGGCCGCGAAGTCCCGTGCTGGGGCATAGGGCTGGTAGTGCCTTCGGGTGGGCCCTGGCCTGCGGGGGGTCATGTTCATGTAGTCACTCTGAAGCATCCTGTTTCTCTTAGTCTTCATCTGTGAAAAGAAGAAGTGTCATTGTGAAGGGGACAGGACGCAGATAGAGGTGTCTGGGGAGGTGTTCTAAGATTTGGCGACAGCTACTCAGAGCACGGCCAGTCAAATGAAGCCATGAATTCACTGAGCACCTTGGACTTGGATGGTTAATACAACCCAACTACTTTGGACTCTTCCAGATTAACTTGAAAATTTTGAATCAAAGAAAGTATTTTAAAGAAAGGCACACCTGTTACCCTCAATGCAGCCATTTGAACTGAATTCCAAAAGCATGTCTAATTAACATATCAACCGTTGATATGTGAATATTCTTAAAGGTCCTTCCTCCTTTGAAAAGGTTAAGCATCCCCATGGCAATCTTCTTACATTAACCATTTGCTTAAAGAAGCCATTTTCCCCCATAATTAACCAGAGGACCTTCAGCCCTGCAGAGTCTGGAATGGTCACAAATACATAACAGTGGAGTCCAAATTAATTGAGTGTTACATTCTGGGCAACTAATTACATTCCTGTTCCTTCATGTGTATGTACATTTCCATTAGGGCTTCCCTGGTGGTTCAGATGGTAAAGAATCCACCTGCAATGTGGGAGACCTGGGTTCAATCCTTGGGTTTGGAAGATCCCCTGGAGGAAGGCATAGCAACCCACTCCATTAAAGACAATAGCATCATTCATCTCCATTCCTTGACTCAGCTCCCTTTGGATGAAGTTCTACCAGGGCTGAGGAAAATAGAGGTGATACTAATCCTGGAATAAGAGTTATATACACCATGAACCTTAGCAAAGTTTTGACTGAGGGTTAAGAATCTCTTTTCTGGATCAATGTGCTGGTAAAATTTACTTGTTTAATAAAAGACCCATAAAAATTCTAAAAATAGAAAGCCATCCAGATTTCTGGATTCAGAGTTCTCTAAAATGGAAAAAAAAAAAAGTCTATTTCTCGGCATATAGGCCTGATGCAAAAGTAAATAATGTTGGACAGGAATGTCATGAACACCTGAATAAGTAAGCAAAAGACTGGCCTTATTTCCATGCACTCCTACCTGAGCCCTTCCCATCGTCTTTGTCAAAGGGCCATGAGTTAAGTGCTGAAGATTGGCGAAACACTTGTTTTCAGGCCTCATCTATTGAACTCTCAGTTGCATTCTAGATTATCCATCACTCTCTGCTTTCTGAAATGCTTCTGTTTTGCCTTCTGTGAGATGGTACAATCCAAGTTTCATCCTGCCTCTCTGGCCACTGCCTCCTTGTCGCCTCTGCAAACTCATTCTTTCTTAATTAGACATTAAGTGTTAGAGTTCCTGACAGTCCTAGGCATTCTCCTCTATTCAGCCTCTCTCCTAGGCAACTTCATCCACATTCACAGCTTCAGTTATCACCTATACACCCGAATTTATATCTCTGGACTAGACCTCAAAGGTGCTTTAAACTCAACATGTTCAAAGGCATGAAGGCTGGTCTCTTCTAGCGTTTCTCATCCCAATGAGTAACACTATCCTACATATAGTTGCCCAAGCCAGACCTCCTAAGACTCATTCTCGACACCTCCAGTTGCCTTATCCTCTGTCCCAGGGGACATCTGACAACATCTGAAGACATTCTGAGTTGTCAGAACTAGGATGAGTGCTACTGGCCTCTAGTAGGTAGAGGCCAAGGATGCTGCTCAACATCCTACATTGTACAAGGGAATTCCTGACAGCAAAGTTTTATCCAGCTCAAAATGTCAGTAGTGCCAAGACCAAGAAATCCTGATCTGAAGAGTCTGATCATGAAAAAGAAAGGAATGAAAAGGAAGCAATGGATATGAAATATATCATCAAGTTAGAATGAGTATTGTTAGACTGTTTGGGTCCTCCTTCTTGCTCATACTCAAAGATGACTGATGATCGGAGCCTGGGTGACCAGGAGGACAGTGTTCCATCTATAGGTATAAGGCAAGAAGATAGGTGAAGTAGATTTGAGAGTGGCTCTCAATTCAGTTTTGGTTATTTGGGATTTGAGATGATGGATGGATTATCTAGCTGGAAGTAAGAAGAGGACAGCATTAAACAGACATAATTGGGGGATTCATTCAGAGAGAGATAGCTATGGAAACCAAGTGCGTGAGGGAAGTTGCCCTTGAAACATCTTGGTTCTACATCCTTTCGATAAATTAAAGACTAGAGTCCTCTTGAGCACAGGGTTATGGCAGGGAAGGAGTGAGGCAAGGAACTGCCCTGAAATAAATGTGAAAGGCTGCTGCTGATATCCTGGGAGGCAGGATAGTACTTACTCTAACTCTGAGGACTCCTCTTGCCAGACTTCTAAGGACAGTTTTTGCCTCTGGACACTCAAATTAAACTATAACCAATTAGAAGGACCCCCATAATGAAGACGTCTTGATTCTGAAGTTCTCTGGATTGCACCAAAATTATGAAAAACCTGCTGCAGTCCGCTCCTTTGCTTACCCTCTTGCTGTTATCAGATAGCAGATTTACTCATTTTCACCCTAACTGTAAATACAACAGTGGGATAGAAATGACACATGCATGGCTGGGAACAGTAAACAGAACCCACGGTGTCCATGAGCATGTAGCATATGTGTATATGTGTGCAGGGCACTCACTTTACATGTCTGGGTGACTAAGTCATTCAACCCTTCACTATTCACTGTCTGCCACAGACGTGTGATTTCGATTTCAGGACCACTCCTCCCTTTCTCTTCCTCCTACCCCAGCCTTACCCATTCATTTCTTGGAAGCAGCAGAAAGACACAGGCAAACATAAGACAATCTATTTAAAAGACATGGTCTTCAAGAACCCACTGGCGGGACTTCCCTGGTGGCCCAGTGGTCAAGAATCCACCTTGCCATATTCAGGGGATACAGGTCTGATCCCTGGTCAGGGACTGAAGATCCCACATACTGCTGAGCAAGTAAGCTCAGGTGCGGCAAGTACTGAAGCCCAAACTACAGCTCCATGTGCCGCAATGCAAGATCCCACAGGATGCAACCAAGACCCGTTGCAGCCAAATTAATTCATTATTAATAATGGATTTTTAAAAGCACACCCACTGGATTTAAAGACAGATACTACCTGTACACACATTCCCCACATTCCCCACAGTGTGATTTATAGAGGAGAAAGCTGTGTTTTTTAAATGTTCCTTTAGACTAAGAAGGAGAACAGGCTTACCAGCCCCACCGAGCAAACGGAGTTTGAGTGAGGGTAACAGGTGCTGGTCTGTGGCCGCTGGCAGAGGGGAGCTCATTGTTTACTCAGATGTCAGCCACGGGTCAAGAACTGAGATACCATCTGCAGCTGCTCCCAAAAACCCACTCAGCCTAGAACTGCTTAAGGCAGTACATCACATGTCCTCAGGAAGTTCCGGAAAACAGCAGCTTACACCAAGGCCCAGTGCAGGCCAGCCAAAAATAGGATCCTAGAAAAGTACCCCCGAAATGGCTAAACTCTAGGGATCCCTAATGACCTGCCTGCCTAGCTCAGTAAGGTGCTGTTTGCTTGAACAGCAAAGGGAAAAGACAAGCCCAGGTAAAAATCCTGTGTTATTCAATGAAATATACATATACGTTTATTTCATCCCCTTTTGGTCAGAGAGCACAAACAGCTATGTTTGAGATGCAAATAAAGGGTACTTCTTATTGAGTAACCTCATTAACCACAAGAGGCCACAGAAGAAAATAAGGTATACCAAGCACTGAGACTTCCCAATTTTCAGGGAGCTCATGAGACGGAAAGAGACCAGAATAAGTTTTCTCAGACAAAGCAAGATGAACCTCACTAGGAGTTAGTGTTAGTCACTCAGTCCTGTCCGACTCTATGTAACCCCATGGACTGGAGCCCATCAGGTTCCTCTGTCCATGGAATTCTCCAGGCAAGAAAACTGGACTGGGTAGCCATTCCCTTTTCCAGGGGATCATCCTGACCCAGAGATCGAACCCTGGTCTCCCACATTGCAGGCAGATTCTTTATCATCTGACCCACCAGGGAAGCCCTAGGAATTAGTAGTGCTGCCAAAGAAAAATGTATTGCATTATGATGTTTCCAAGTTGAAAATCTACTTTTTAAACTCATTAAAAGTGAGAAGCTACTTTTGTCCCTTTGGGTAATTTGAGCTACCTAGTATATTAGTTATATAATATATAACTGTTGTATATTATATTATAGTTATATAACATATAATTAATATATAATTAGTTATGTAATTTATAACCTGGTTATAGTAACTGATACTCTAGTGCATGCTGACAATACATTTTAAATGGCGAGCAATACTCTTCTGGCCTCAAAAAGTTAAAACAGTTTCCAAAACTACTTTTCACAAAGGTAGGAAAGCACATTGACCTAGGTCAGCATGGTACAGGGGAGTACCTGTCCTGGAAATGTACCCCCAAAAAGACACTGCACCTGGATTTTAATTAAGAAGTTGATATTCTAAGGGGATCAAATAAAAACAGGAACTGAGTTTCTAAATTATATTATTGACAAACTCCACAGAGGTTCAAAGATGTAAGATATCTTGGATGAAGATAGCAAGATCCACAAAGTCAACTAACATCAGAGGAAGAACTTGGGCAATATTTGACTACATAAAAGGCCCCCCTCAGAGCTGGGCAACTTGCAGAAGGCAAGGCAAGCAAATTCTCAAGATAATATCTGGTATAAAGGATTTCCAGGAACAAGCAGCCACTTTGCTGCTTACAGATCTTGTTGGAGGTACAGATCAGGCAACAGGCTGCCTGACAAATGTCCATCTGCCCCTTAGTCTCCCAAAATGGGAGAAGCATGCGGGAAACAAGGGAGAGACAAACTTTGGCCATAGACCAACAACAGTTTAAAAGAATTGCAGGCTGAATTTATCCTGGGCATGACTGTGAACCCAACTGCCCTCCCTCTCCACTCATGCCCTGCCCAGCACCAAGGCTATAGTAAATAGGATGGCTTCAACATGACATGTCTCCCAGAAATCACTGATTCATGTACAAATCAGATGTATGGACTGTGCCTTCAAGAAGAGTATGGTGCTCCATGCATACTCATTTAAATCCTTAGTTTGGCCTCTCTAGAGGTTATCAATTCATAAATATTCTATAAACACTAAACTAAATGTACTTAATACCAGATGGATGGTGAATATCAAGAGAAATAGTCTTTATCCTTGAGGAACATACATCTCTTGTTGAGGAAATGATTCATGCATGCATCTAACTTCTAGAAAAAAAAATTCAAAGACAATATGGAATGAGTGCCACCCTGTGTACATAAGAACAGCAAGCGTCTGAGTAAGAAAAAGGAAGAAAATAAGGAGGTCCCTGATTCACAGTATATATGGTTATCAATATGTGTTCAAACCTAGGCCAAAACTTCAATATTGAAGAAGGTAGAGAAAAGCACTGTAAGTTAATTGCATGAACAATTGCAAAAGTTCGTAAACTCCAATTCAGCAGTGAGAGCTCAGAAAAGTCTAACTCCCATTACAGTTTCATAATGACAGCACCATAGTTGGTCTCACAAAATTTAACTGCTTCAGAAGAGATAAAATATGACTCAGATAAACAGACCTAGTTTCTTTGCTAGGTTTGAATGCATAATTTCAGTAGTCAAATTTCTCATGATTTTTGACCCTGAACAAAAATTGTTCATTGGCTTCAGTTGCTTAGATTCCCAAGTCACTTATGTTTTTATACATATTTTATATGTCATAATGACAGTGCAAAATGGCAAGAAGAAAAGTAACTTTCTACCTTAATTTGTCCCCCACCCTAATTTGCCTGTTTAGCTTCTTACTTGCCTGGACACCTAATCAATGGTTTCTGGAACATAAAATTCACATCAGATTTTTATTTCAGATAAAACTGAATAGTCTAAAAGAGAATCTAGCAGGGAAACCTACTCAAACCTAGCAGAGAAAAAGAAAATAATCACATGTTAAACGGAAAATGAGCCACATAAGCAAAATTTGTGAATATGTCCAATTGCTTATGCAATAGAAAAGTTACATGAAAGCAATGCTGCTTCTCTTACCCAGCAGTTAGAGAGAGCCACTGTTACTAGCAAGCTATAGAAAACTAGGACTCCGTTTACCACCACCAAGGCCCAAAATGGCTTAGAAGACTCAGGAGACCGGGGAGATGGACAAAGATGTTTCTCTGTAAAATAGAATAGAGTAGATTAAATGATATGGGAATGGCATTTGAATACATTTACTTCCTTCTTCCCAGGGCAGAATGTGAGATGAAACAAAACACGCAGAATATCACTAGCTTAACATGTGTAGACCTACTCTCTGGTTTTCCTCTTTGGGAGTCAGCCAACCCCCACCACTGATCGTGACCTAGTTATCAAGACTGTAGTTGAAAACCGTTACTCGAGAGCGGACATTGGCCGAGTGGTACCTTACCTTTCACATGGATAATGGTGCCATTACTCTTCTCATTGTCTATGTAAGGAGGAGGATACAGAACCTCAAGTTTGCAGAAATAAATATCCGTTTGGTTGACATACAGGTCCTGGAGGTAGAAGGTCACTGTTTCATTGCCTACTTTCACGGTGCAGTTGAATTCCTTATTTGTGGACTGAAGTGGATGGGAGTGGTTTCCATTCACAGCACAGACCTCCACGGCGCTATCCGCTCCCTTATAAAGGGATGCCCGGAACTCCTTTGAGAAGAGGTTGTACGTGTACTTGCAGCTGAGGTTGACCTCATTGTCATTTACCACAAGCATGGGCGACTGCTTCACCAAAATCTTGTTTTCTGGAGGGGGAGAAAATCATTTGCTCAAAAAAAGAGTATAAAGACTTAAAAAAGATAGAGAGAGAGAGAGAGATGGGGGTGGGGGAGAGACAGGAGGGGAGAAGAAAGCACTGATAGTTTGGACTTCATCCTAGGTTCTTTTTGTTTGTCACTAGCTTGCTTCATGGGCTTCTCCGGTGGCTCGGTGGTAAAGAATGCACTTACCAACACGGGAGATGCAGGTTTGATCCCTGGGTTGGGAAGATCCCCTGGAGAAAGAAATGTCAACCCACTCCACTATTCTTGCCTGGGAAATCCATAGACAGAGCACCCTGGCAGGCTACAGTCCACGGGGTTGAAAAAGAGTCAGACATGACTTAGCGAAGAAACAACAGCTTGCTTCATAAGTTGCTTCCTCTCTTTAGTCTCAATTTTTTAATCCATTGTGACTGCTGAGCAAAATAAATATTCTAGGTTTATTAACTTTCTGTAAGTGAAAAATGGGTGAGAAATGGATGTTAAGGTTATTCAAAAGTTAATATAGGTAACATATATAACTAGTATTAATAAGTAAGAATAGTATCTTTGTGTGATTTCTTAGATTTCGAAGTGCTTTTCAATATACATCTCATTTTTCTCTTCCTCCAGTTCCATAAGGAAGGAGGGCATGTATCATAAGATGAAACTGAGAACCAGGGCTGCTTTGTAGTAGAATTCGGACTTAAGACTAGATCTGACTCTAACAAACCATGCAAACTTTCTAATTTGTAAGTAATTAAAATAATGGAACACACAGAGAAAAAAGAATATAAGGACTTTCTTTTTTTCTGAAATCAAGATATGTTAATTAACAAACAGATCTTCAGCAAAGACTTTCTCTTGGCAGACAAAGACACAGGAGCTCTTTGGGAGGTAATTACACTGAATGTGTACATTTTGATATTATTTTCACTCTCCTTTGAATGGAACAGTGGAGTAAGTTGGAAGGCACTTGGAAGGCAGAAAGTGGCCTTCTGTTGGTATTGAACACCACAGCTACACATTTGGAATTTTTGAATCTATGCTGAGATTTCTAACATGTTAATCATGCTTAATTGTATTAATTTCCTAATCTAGTGGTTTACTTGAAAGTGGCTTTTAACACCTGACATAGATAAACAAGTAGATTTGTATTGATATTTTAAGCTATGATTCATCCTTTGATGAAGGAATTTAAGTGTTTTGAAACATTTTTATTTTATTGTCCATTCTAAGAATAGGATAAAGAGGTAATAAAAATGTTACCCAACAAATTTATCCTCCATAGCAAATTCTGAAGACAGCCTTCCAAGACACTTGCATATTTATTTCTTTAAATCACAGAAGATGGAAGAGGCTCAAGAGACCCACAAGAGTTATTTCTCTAGTCTGTCTTCTACCTTTATGTATCCTCAGTAAATGATCAGAAAATTTGGAGACCACCTAGTTCAGTCTCTTCACTTTTAAGCAAAGAACATGAAATCTGCATAAGGGAAGAAAGCATATCTATTCTATCTTGTTTTTTCCCCACTATATCCCCATTCTCTAGCACATGACATTATATTCCCTTTTTGGTAGTGACTATATGAGGCCTAGAAACTTTGAATGATCTACCTAATATTACTGAGCAGATGGTGAGCAAAGTGAAGACTAAATCTCAAGTAAATTACAATCGCTTGAAAAATAGGCCACTGAAGCACTGAGAGTCAACTTTGCAACCATGACTTTCTAAAATTACCTAAAACAATAAATCACTTGGTGTCTTTGATTCAAAATTCAATACAAAAAAACTTTTTTTTCTATTGCTCTGAGGTATACTAACAATTGTCTATCTATTTGCATTTTTTGAAAAAGGTTATTTGAAGCAATACACCCACATATCCATACTGAAGGGTCAATAAAATAATCTCTTAAAAATGAAATTTACAGTTGAAACTAGATTTGAATCCATGTACTCAAGTATTTTGTTTCTGCTTTGGGGAAAACAAAGCTTCATAGATCACTAATAGATTTTCATCTCCTGCATGTGCCTGCATGCTCAGTCATGGGTGACTTTTTGCAACCCCCATGGACTATATAGCTCACCAGGCTCCTCTGTCCATGAAATTTTCCAGGCAAGAATAATGGAGTAGGCTGCCATTTCCTACTCCCAGAGGTCTTCCCAACCCAGGGATTGAACCTGCATCTCCTGCACTGGCAGATGGATTCTTTACCACTGTGCCACTACATAGTTCTCAGCCCTAGTTGTACATCAAGAACCTGTCCATGGGGACTTCCCAGGGTGAAGTGGTTGAGAATCTGCCATGCAATGCAGGGGACTCTTGTTCGATCCCTGGTTGGGGAACTAAGATCCCACATGCTGAGGAACAACTGAACCCAAGTGCCCTGAAGCCTACACGCCATCACTAAAGAGTCCATGAGCTGCAAGGAAAGCTCTTCCACGATGCATGGAAGATCTCGCCTACTAACTAAGACCCAACACAGCCAAACAAACAAATAAATAAAATTTGTCACAAAAGAAGAAGAATATATGCCTGGCTCCCATTCAGAAATTCTAATTTAATTGGTTAATGCTGGTGGGGGATGGATTGATTCTTTTCATCTTTTATTTTTTATAACTTATTAAGATACAATTCAGCTCCCCTGATAGTTCAGTTGGTAAAGAATACACCTACAAGGCAGGAGACCCTGATTCAATTCCTGGGTCAGGAAGATCCCCTGGAGAAGGAATAGGCGACCCACTCCAGGATTCTTGGACTCCCTTGTGGCTCAGCTGGTAAAGAATCTGCCTGCAATGCAGGAGACACGGGTTTGATGCCTGGGTTGTGAAGATCCCCTAGAGAAGGGAAATACTATCCACTCCAGTATTCTGGGTTCCATGGACTACAGTCTATGGGGTTGAAAAGAGTCAGATATGACTGAGCGAATTTCACGTTCAAGATACAGTTCATATACCATAAAACTCACCTTTTTTAAAAGTTCACCCTTTTAAGTATACAATTCAATGACTTTTTATTACAGTCACAAAGTTGTGAATGGATCATCACTATCTGATTCCAAAATACTTCATTACTCCCCCAAAAAATCTCATACCCATTAGCCTCCCCTCTGCATTCCTTTTTTCCAGTCCTTGGCAATCACTAATCTATTTTCTATCTCTATGGTTTACCTATTCTGGAATTTCATATAAATGGGATCATACAGTAGTGTTCTTTTGTGCCTAGCTTCTTTCACTTAACATGTTTTCAAGGTTGATCTATGTTGTACCATGTATCAGAACTTCATTCCTTTTCATGGCCAAATGATATCCCACTGTATGGATATACCACATTTTGTTTTTTCATTGATCAATTGTTTCCCCTAGTTGGCTATCTTTTATAAGGCTGCTATGAACATGTACAAGTTTTTGTGTGGATGAACGTTTACCATTCTCTTGGGTGTATGCCAGGAGTGGAACTGATGGTAATTATGGAAACTCTATATTTAACTTGTTGAGGAACTGCCAAAATGTTTTCTAAAGCAACTGTACCATTTTACATCCCCACCAGCAGTGTGTAAGGGTTCCAATTTCTCCACATGCTTGCCAACACTTGTTGCTGTCCATCTTTTTTTACTATAGCCATCTTAGAGTTGTGAAGTGGTATTTCTTTATGGTTTGATTTGCATTTCCCTGATGACTAATGATGCTGAGCACTTTTTCATGTACTTGTTAGCCATCTGTGTATCCTTTTTAGAGAAATGTCTATTCAGATGATTTGCCCATTTACCTGAATTATCTTGTTAGTATCGAGTTGTTGGAGTTTTTTACACATCTTTGATGCACGTTCCTTTATCAAGATATGTGATTTGCAAATATTTTCTCCTGATTCTGTGTGTCACCTTTGGTATTAGTTTAATAATTCCCCCAGGTGATTCTAATATTCAGTCAGGATTGAAAACCTCTATAGCCTAACAGAGTTCTCAAGCTGACAGCACATTAGTCACCTGGGAGCTTAAGAAACTCTTGATTCTTGGGCCAATTAAATCAGAATCTTTGGGTATAGGACCCAGACATCAGTATATTTTAAATTTCTCAGGAGATTCTAATATGCAGTCAAGTTGAAGAACCAGTGGCTCAACGGTTGAAACTCATTTCTTACCCTCAATTCATAGGCTTCCACAAGCTTTTCCAACCTCAATTCCTCAAACCAAAACCCTGCAATTAGCCAGATCACTTAAGATACCTTCCCAGGACACGCTGTGAGTATCTCTCTGTGTATTTTGCTCAGTGACTCCTTGGCCTGCAGCGTCTCTCCTTTCTTAGGTCTCAAAACTATTACTCTCTGTTCTACATTTTGAAACTCTCTTGTTTCAGAGGCTTCCAGTTGTTTAGCTTTTGATCTGCATGTATTTTCTCTAGACCCCTAGTTTCCAAGTCTCCTTTGAGAAAAGACAAGAGGTTACACTTTTTGTACAATACTGTGTGATTAAGGGAGTCTCATTAAATAATTGACAAGTGAAAGACGGTGATACGACTGTACCACTCTTAGCAGCTAACTCTGCCTAGCATCTCATTAAGTCCTTATTAAAAATCTGTGTCTCAATAGCAACTTTAACTTCATTTATTATTCACCATAACAAATACTCTCTAAAAGCACTGAGAAGTTAACATGTAAAGACTCCACAAGTTCAGCTTGTCTTGATAGGAAAATCCAACTCATCTTTTGTTTTATCTTCCATGACCTTTTTCTTTGCTTACTTAGAAAGAATCACTGGGTTGGTTCTGACTGGAAGAATTAACCCAGCAAGAAATGCTAGATGCCACTCCTTTTCAGGTTAGGTATGTGTATTTCTGCCTATTGAGGACCCTAGGAAGTATGTTTCCGTGACTAATTACTTGAATTTTGTTCTAATGAGCATTCAGATTCTTCCTGATATTCCTTTGAAAGCTGATGTAAGAAAAAAACATGAGAATAGAGTTTCTTTGCAGAGATTTTTAAAAAGGAGGGTGCAGAGGCGGGTGC